CAGCCAACAGGAAGGGAACCGTTCATCCATGAGGCGGACGGATGCGATAGCCATGAGTATGGGATCTCAAACATACAACAGGGAAGAGGGCGCAGGACCAAGCAGTGGCTCCTTTTCTTATATGTAAGGGGCCACCAGTAGGCCACACCACAGCACCAACCTTATATACAAACAGTGGAATATTACTCACCCATAAAAAGGATCCAGTTCTGAGACATGCTCTGACATGGGTGAGTCTTGAAACCATTTTGCTGATGAAAAGGAACCAGCCACCAAGGTCCACGTGCTGTGTGATTTCTAGTATATCCCAAGAATACGCAAACCCTTAGAGATATCCCATTGGCGAGTGTTTGCCTAGGGCTGGGGGAAGGGAAGGTGGCTTGGGGTAAATCAAGGGGTGACTGATAGTGGGGAGGGGGATTCCTTTTGAGGTGATACAATAGGATGGTTTATGACGCCGAATACTAAAAACCACCGGGTTGTACATTTCCGATGGATGGGTTTTATGATGTGGGAGTTATATCACAATAAAGTGGTAGCTAATGAGACGAATTGGCACTGTGGCTGTAACAATCGGGACGCTGACACAGCAACAATTCTGAAGCTGGTCTGGGGCCTGGCAGGGCTGCGTTCTGTTGTCTATGGGGGTTTCTTGGAGTTGGAATCAATTTGATGGCACTTCACAAGATCATTTAAAAAGCTCGCACGTGCAAGAATGACAACTCATTCTCATTTCCATTGTCCGAGTGATAGAAAATAAGATGACCATGACCCTGGGAGCACTCATAGACAGTACCAGGGATGCTGATATCACTGTGGGTAAAAGTCTAGGAACAACTGCCTTAGAAAGACTCGCAGGAACACAACCCTCTTGTCCCGCCATCTCAAGAGGAAGCCCTGGCCTGTGGGACCTTCCTCCCACATCCTCACAACCTGTAGGGACGGTGGGATATGAATAATAAGTGGTTTTCAATTAGCTGCACTGAAAACTGCGAGTCGGCTTGTGCTAATTTCTATGATCAAATTACTTCATTTTGTTTCTCTTCTAACTGCTAGGGTGATTTTATGCCAGGCTTATTTTAGTCATTCTAATTATGCGTGCATCAATATTTAGTGGGTCTCTTCCTAACTCGCAAGTAAGCCCGAATGTTTTTCCCCTCCCTCAGAGAGTGGGGTGGTACAATGTAATATTAACAGGTGATGCACAGCATCCGAATTAAATCCTTTTTCCGTCACTCTCTCACCGCACCCCCCTCCGTCCTCCTTGTTTATAAGGACCACTCAGGTGGAGTTCTTCAAAAGCAGTGTGTACACCAAGGGGCTTCACAAAGTTCATGATATAACGCCATCCTCTTTCAACTGCATTTTCCCACAAGGTATTCTGAAGCCCCCTCCTTTAGTCACATACGTCTACAACCCTCAAGGTAGTGCTGTGCATGCTAACAGTGTGTTGTTGTTGTTGTTGTCTGTTCCAACCCATCTTCACTCTAGGGGACCCAGTAGCAGATGATACTCGATGCAGTCTTGGCCTATGTGACATGAAGGACCCAGGTATGTAAAAAGCCCAAACCAAACCCCGTGCCATCAAGTCCATTTCAATGCATGACAACCCTACAGGGTGGGGGAACTGGCCCCGCGGGTTTTCCAGACTGGAACTCTTTACAGGGGTAGGAAACCTCATCTTTCTGCCACAGAGTGACTGATGGTTTTAACCTGCTGACCTCGGGGAGTGCAGCTCCATCAGTAACTACTACACCACCAGGGCTCCTTATTTGGTTATATATGACACATTCAAATGGGCCATTTGTTTAGACCAACCCTTTTTAAAAAAATCATTTATTGGGAGCTCATCTGACTCTCATCACAATCCATCCATCCATCCATTGTGTCTGTTGGGAGCCGGCCCTAGCAGACATTCTCAAGGTCCTTCAAACAGTGACCGGCCCTAGTGGAAAATTACTGGCAGGTGGTTATGCCTTAAAAGATATCTTAGTCACCAAAGCTTCCTTGTTCTATGAAAATGTCTGAGACAGTTTGCAGTCTGTGTTACCCTCGTCTCCCCTCGAAGTGTTCTTTGACTATTGTGCAGCTGTAACTGCTCTGCAGCTACGTGACCTTGGTTGGTTATCTTCCCCACCCTTCACCCATTGGTTGAAATAC